TAAAGGAAAAAATCTGATAGAGCCTTAGTTTTGCCTATAAAAAGGCATGCCCATTGCCTTGTTTAACAAGTTGGGAGCCTCTAAAAACTCCCCCCAAAAGTGTTCTACAAGTTTTTACAAATCTGAAGTTTGAAATTCAAAAATTCAAAAACCAAAAACAAAAAACAGTAGAAAACTCCATAAAAATACTGCTCTATTGGAACTCTCTTAGATTAAGTTTGAATTTCAGTTGTAGATCAAGTTTTCAGTTCAATAGAGGGTTAAAAATGGTTTGAGTATCTTCTAGATCTTGTTTGATTCAAGTTCAGGGAATTCTGGTTGATTTCGAGTATATTTTGGTCCAATCATATCTGGTTTCGTCTGCTTTTGGTGTTTAATCTGCTGCTAGTCATTCCTGGGTTTGCTGTGGTATTTTTGGATTTGAAATTGATCTAGCTGCTTTGAATTTGGGCTGCTGTTCGTTACTGCTTTAGCTGACTTCCCTCTTCTTCACTTTTGTTCTAATTTCCAGGTATATTCTTAGGCTCAAGTGATGTGGAAGCTTGTATTAACATGCATGAACACAATTTGAAGTTGAATGATGAAGCTTTGCCTATTTGCACATATACTTTCTGCTGTTGTTATTTAGCTTAAGAAATCCAGTTTAAGTGAGTCCTTTGAACGATATTTTAAAGTGTATTAATTAGGACTTTATAGACCGTACTGAACTGCTGCGTTTCTGTCGAATTCTATGGTTAACCTGTTGAATAATATTAGATGCGATTAGTTCTAGTTTATTGCCATGTTTGAGATTTACGTTCAGGGTGTAACAGTGGCTTAATAGTGATGGTTTAGTGTTATTAAAAACATTAGAACATATTGCCTTGACTTGAATCTGGAAATAGCTTGTGTGTCTCTCACTGAAATTCAAAGTGTCATTTGTGACCATAAGGATTGATTACCTTAGTGTGCTTGTCATATTGATTAATTGAAATCAGAAATGAACATTGGAAATACATTCAGGTTTAGACCGTGACTAATTTGTGTTGAAAAGTATTAACCAGGGTTAAATGACTGCCAAAAATCAGGAAATAATGGTATCCAAACAATTTTGAAATTTACGTTGAGTTTTGAATTCCAAACTGTTTATCTGTTAACAAGTTGTTGAGCCTAATTGTGATTAAAATTAGAATCCAGAGGGCCAAATGAAGCTTCGTATTGGATCTGGGCTCACTTATGAGCCAAATATGACGGCCCCTACTCGGACCAGACTTGGGCCTGGAATTTGCTTGTACAGGGCCCATGTTTGGGCAATTTTGTTCTTATGAGTACGACTGAATTTGTTTAGGGCCAGCTTTGAGGCCCAAGACACTGAAAGTACATCAATACTAATTAATTAGGGTCGTTTAGAGACAAGACTTAATAGAAGAATCATAGTTTCTTTTAGGTCGGCCTTTTTTAAAAAAAATAAAACGAGGTGCGCCGCGCCAAATAAAATCACAAATTGCGTGGCCCTTTTTAATTACTTCTTTAAAAATACTTAGACTTCGGGACGTGCCATTTAGCGAATTTCATGGCCTCCCGCAAAGTTAATAATACGCTAGTTTGCTTTAGGCCCAACCCTTAATAATATTACCTTCCTAAATGCGGGTGCACATTTATGTGACCCAAATCCAAATCCCAACGAAGTTGAAATGTGTCAAAACCACGGGTGCATTTATGTGACGTGGTTCGAGACGTGTTTTAACGACGTTGCAATTCTCTTTAAAATAATAAATAAAAGCGGTTCAAAGTTAAAAAGAACATAGATTAAACATGTCCTTAAATAAAGTAAATAAGCCAAATATGACAGTTGAGCGACCGTGCTAGAACCACGGAACTCGGGAATGCCTAACACCTTCTCCCGGGTTAACAGAATTCCTTACTCGGATTTCTGGTCCGCGGATTGTTAAACATAGTCATTCTTTCCTCGATTCGGGATTCCAAACCGGTGACTTGGGACACCATTAATCTCTCAAGTGGCGACTCTGAATCTTTAATAACGAATCCCGTTTCGATTGTCCTTTAATTGGAAAAACTCCTTTACGCCCTTGCGGGGTGTAGGTAAAAAGGAGGTGTGACAATGGGGATGCGCGTCGCATCATTTGTTGTTTATGTATTCATATTCTGCCGAGGTTCATTATTGTGGTGTTGAAGCTCCCTTAAGGATTGGTCATAGCTGAGTATTGGTAGAACGACCGGGTTTCGTATTTATTTAATGCAAGTTACCGTTATATTTCATTCTGTATTTCCTTTCTGTCTTAGTATAAACTGTTGCAGGTTATATAAATATTATTATGCCCCGCCGTAGCCTCGTCACTACTTCGTCGATGTTAGACTCGGCACTTACCAGTACATGGGGTCGGTACTGATACTGCACTCTGCACTTTCTGTGCAGATTTCGGAGCTAGTGGCTGATCGAGAGGCCGGTTGCTGTTACTGCATTTAGGAGACCCAAGGTAGTCCTGCAGGTGTCTGTAGGCCCTGCGTCCCCTCCTATTTTTACTTCATTTCTGTTTTACTTTCTTCGAGATAGATGCATTTTCTTTCAAATCATTACTTGTAGTGTTCGTAGACTGTTCGTGAGCTGTGACACCAGTTCTAGGTGGTATCTATGTCGACTTTCGTTAATAGTATAAGGGTAATCAGTTAAATCATGTACTTCTGTTTTTATTTTCGCTGAATTAGTTTTGTTAAATTTTAATTATAAAAGGAAAAAGGAAAAAGTGAAATATTCTGCAACGTTAGCTTGCCTAGCAAGTGCAATGTTAGGCGCCATCACGATCCCGAAGGTGAGAAATTCGAATCGTGACAATAATGATTTTTAAAAGAAAAAAAATTCTCCAAATTAATTGTCTTAATTTTTACTTTAGATATTCTCAAATCATATTTTAGATAGGGAATCCTTATTATACAACTTGAACAATTTTCAATATTCTATAATAAAAAAGGGACTTGAAGTGGCCATATCATGATGAAACTTAAATTTTCCAACTGTAAGCTTTGAATATCCGTTATAACGCCATTTATCAACTATTCCAATGATAGGGAGCTACACATACTCAAGCAAGCTGAGCATGTCATAATTATAAGTAATTTGGGCTTTAATACCCGACTATAGTAATAAGAAACTTAAATTTTGACACGCAATGTACCCGTGAAGGAAATTATTGCAGATTTAAGGAGCAAGAAATGGTGAGATTCTAAACTTCTTTCTAAATAAAAGAGTAATGTTCCAACATTGTTATTACCAAAAAGTCGCAAAAGAAAACAAAATTTTATAGTGTTCCAATTGAAATTGCAATTCATTAAGAACTTTATGTAAAATTATATCAATTGATAATAATATAAGAATATCTGAATGTAACTTTACATAAATTATCCCTAGTTAATTAATAAAACAAATGAAATAATATTTCTTACGAAGATAATAGAATTGTCATATATAAATGAATGTTACCATAGTATTTTTAATTAGGTGTATTTTATAAAATTACCAAAAAGATAATTTTTCTAGTTAAAAGTACTTATATATTCTGCCTAATAGCAACAATCAAGTAATGCATTTAATGAAGATAATGAAGGTTGAATGGAAAATGGGGTCCACCTGAAGAATTTAATAGCTCATGACCACGTTAGTTTTGGTTTTTCCTGTTATTAAGAACACACAACCAAACCTTTGACCCAGTAATAAGCAAATAATGCAATATACTTGAAATGACCGTTATGCTCTTGGTCGACCTCCTATTCTCTCTTATATATAATAGAAAAAATATAAAGTAGAATTTTTTTTTTTGGTAATTATAATAATTTGGCTAAACTTGAAAACCTTATTTTTATGGCTTTTAGTTACTCTTTCCGTCCCCATTTATATAGCGGTATTTAGATTTTTGAGGGTCACATCACTTTTTTTTTTACCGTAATTAAATTTTATTTTATAAAACCTTACAAATATTATATCATAAATAAAATTACCATATAAATTGGGACACATGAGTAACTGCTTTAAGAAAAAATTGCAGAATCTGATTTCGGATTGTTAACATCCTTTTTAGAAACTCAAATTTGTACAAATTTTAAGACAAACACCATTTTACAAAGGCAAAAAGGCCTCGTAGCCACTTGAACTTGTACAAATTTTTCATCCCGATAAATAAACTTAAAAAAGTCCCATTTTAACTCCTCAACTCGATATAACGAGTATAATAAACACTTTCTCAATGCATGTTGCTCAATTGCCTGATTTGTTATACACATCAGCGTCCACATCAGATAAATGTTATTTATTTTTATTTTATATATAAAAGAACTCCAAATTCAACCCCCCTCCCCCTCCTCCTCCTCCTCCTCCCCTACCCCCCCACCCCCACCCCAAACTAAAAAAACTTGTGGGCTTCCATCACCCCTTCTGCACCTCTCTATGAAGTTGCCATTACTGCTACAAATTGGAGCTATTATTTCAACTTTTATAGTTTGTGAATTTCTGGACAGAATTGAGACTCTCCATAAAACATCTATAACCATTTTTCTTTTGCCTAAATAATATTAAGATTTTTCTTTGAACACCTTCCAAAAGCTTGATTACTTCTTCCCCAAATCCAACAAACATAGCAGCTAAAATGTTATCTCAGAATAAATCCCTCTAAATAGGGAACCAAAATGAATTCTACAAGGTTCTCAGAATTGATTTCTATGAAATTCGAGACAAGACAATCAATAAAAGAAGAATGAGCAAAGTGGGGGAGAGGAGGGGGCAGGGAGAGGGGATGGACTATGGAGGGCAATCTGGAAAAATAAAGAAATCCATTAAAGCTTTTATAAATTTATTCTTTTTAACCTTTTCCTTTAAATTAAAAACTTAAAATTTTTGTTTTATTTTATACTTAATTTTTAAATCATAATTATCATATACACGCGCTTTTTGATGGTGATAGGCATGCATTTTTGTTACGTCAGTTATACCACTTCCACATAACCTTGATCAATAGTGTTTATTGACACTTATTCTATCGAGTTGAGGTGTTAAAATAGGACTTTCCTAAATTTATTTATCGGGATGAAAAATCTGTACAAGTTCACCACGACACCTTTTTGCCTTTTACAAACAAAATTGTCAAATGAAAGAATTAGAAAAACTTTTGTGGGTCAATTGCAGATAAAACCCACGACGGCGACGACGCTCTAAATTCTACTTTAGTAAATTAAACACAACAGTCCCTCAATTATTTTCAATCTCCGATGAAGACTACTACTCTGCTTCGAAATCTCCTCCTAATCAGCTGCTGCTTGTTTCATGTCTCCTCTACTGATTTACCCCTCGGAATCCATCCTCTAGGTTTTCCTCATACTGCTTTTTAAAATTTCTTGAAGCAGCTTAAAATAATTTCCTGAATTTTAACTAGTTGTTATTTTGCAGATGAGAAGTACTATGGTTCAGAGGTAATCAAATGTAAAGATGGGTCTAATTCCTTTACCAAAGATCGCCTCAACGACGATTTCTGTGATTGCCTCGACGGGACGGATGAGCCCGGTAGGAATTTTTTATATATTAATTAAACTATGTGACTTGCCTATAAGCCTAAACTTAAGAGATACGACAACAACAAAAAACCCAATATAATCCTACTAGTGGGGCCTGAGTTGTATGCAACAAACCCAATATAATCCTACTAGTGGGGCCTGAGGAGGGTAAGGTGAATGCAGATCTTACCCCTCCCTACCTTAAGAGGGTAGAGAAGTTGTTTCCGCACTTTTAGAGAGAGCACATTCACTTATTTATTTTAGGTTTGGTATATGCTGGAATGAGCTTGTATTTTTTTTTGGGGGGTGGGGGGGGATAAACATGTGGAAATATTATACTTACTGATGTGTTACATTGAGACTCAAGCCCTGCTGCTCTGATTATATTGAATTGTATGAACCATCTTATCTAAATGTTTAATTTGTTGAGGAGAACACTTTATTTTAGGTTTGTAACATCCACTTGTTCATTACTTGTGTATGATATATTGATATTAGTACAAGTATGCAAAAAGTTATGGGTAGATTCCTGTGTGGATTTGTTTGCATTAACCCCTAGGCCGAAGGGTCAAACTTCATTAAAGAAAACTCCATATAATGGAAGGCCTCCAAGCATGCGCAAATCACACAGTGAGATGGAGAGCTCTCGCCGATGTCAGTATAAATTGTGTTAGTTGCAGATTCCATAATTCTGCAAAAGGCCCGCAATACGTTTTCATTGAGGTTATATTTGAATAAAAAAGCAAAAATGGCACTATAACATCTTGATGCGTTCCAAAATCTCCTTGTTGTGGTCAAGGACATCTTCCGCTCATTTCCAATAACAAATCGTGTCCCGAACCGCATGGAAGCTATATTGAGTATAGTTCAAGTGGCAAACCCTTAATCAGAACATTTGATGCTAGCAAATGCAACATTTTTCTCATGAGTTGATGATTTCAACATGAGAAACTGTGTTGATGACCTTGCTCGAGAAAGTTTCAAGAATTTCATTTACCTCCTTTGACCATTCAGAAAGGTGAAGGAAAGAGTCAATGGTTTTCCTCACTAACCAGAAGGCACCAATCATCGGGATGAACTTTCAATGCAAGAACTTTGGCGCGAGGTTTGTGCTTGTCACAGATGATCTCGAGATATGGATGTAGAACCTCGTGTTCACTTGATATAAAATCTTGTGTTAGCTTGTTAGGACTCAAAGATTCAAACACAGAGAAAGGAAGAAAGAATTAAATTAAAGAATATACAATGCACCGGACTTTAACGCTAATGTTCAAAAATTACATGTGTAAATCCAAATAAAATTTGGGCTTGATTTATATGAGTTGCATTTCCTGAAGTCTGCTTTTTAATGGCGCAAGTAACTTGTAACTTGGATGTGCCTTGAAGGAAGTATGATATTTCTCGTCAAGATGCTCAAAGCTGTGAGAGTAATGTCCAAACCTAGAACTGACTTTGGAAAAGTACATGTGGAAATTCAAAGAGAATTAAGACGAATCTTATTGATTTTGTAGCTTGTGAAGACTGCTTTCACAGGACAAGTGCCTTGTAATTCTGGCTTGCCTACTACGAAATACAATTTTTCGTCAAGACACTCTTGCGTGAGTCAGAGCGTCCAAGTCCGGATTAACTTTGAGAAAGTAACTCTGTAAATCTAGAGAGGAAGTTTTTATATATCTCATAGTTTCTTTTTATATATTTTGTAGTTCCTAAAGTCTGCTTTCCAACATCGCACACAGTTTGCAATTGCGATATAGTTACTGAAAAATATGATTTTTTTCAAGTGAAGACACGCAAAATGAAAGAGATCAATGAATCTGAATTCAAGATTGGGTTTCAAAATTTACCCGAGAAAGTAAATGAGGATTCTGACAGTGGCTTTTAAGTTTTATACATGATGCAACACTAAGAGTATAGTTTCGATAGTGCAAATGGCTTGGGTTCATTTTTGATGATACCTTTAGTTTGCGTGTCTTCATGAGAAAGATCCTATTTTTCTGTAGATATATTTGAATTGCAAGCTGTGTTTGTGCTGTTGGAAAGTAGACATGAGGAACTACGACGCTTATAAAAAGCAAGTCCCGGTTCTCTTTGGATTTTACGTAAGTACTTTTTAGGTCACTTTTGGATTTAGATGTTCACACCCTCACAGTTTTGAGCGTCTTGGCGAGAAAAATTATATTTTGTTGGTGGGACGTCCAAATTACAAGCCTCTTGTGCTGTTAGAAAGCAGACTTCGACATCATTCTCAAAAAAGAGAGGAGAAAGCAGACTACAAGAACTATAAAATATATAAGAATGATTCTCTCTGGATTTTCATAGGTAGTTTCTGAAGTAAGTCCTGTATTTTGATGGTCTAACTCTCACAGTTTTGAGCTTCTTGATGGGGAAAATCATATTTTGGTGTGGGCACATTTGAATTACAAGCTGCTTGCTAAGCGAACTTCAGCAAATACAACATATGTAAATCAAACCCAGATTTTCTTTGGGCTTACATAGGTAATTTTCAGAATCCTAATGTTACAATCTGGAGCATTGTTTTTAGGTAGCATGTTCTTTATTTTTTGTTCTTCTTTCTTTCTCTTTGTTTGCAACTTTAGAGTGATGACACGAATTTTAAATCAAGCGACCGCAGTGCGCTTCAAGGATTACGAAGATCACGAGTTTTCCTCTCCCAGGTGAGGAAAACTTTTGACTCTTTGTTTCACCTTTTTGAATGGTCGATGAATGAGGCAAACAATGTTCTTGAAACTTTCGTGAGCAGGCTACAGAAAGGTTCTCGTGTTGAATTCATCAACTCATGACATGAAAGTTGTATGTACTAGTACCAGACATTCCAATGTTGGTATTGTCATTTGGAGCTATCCTCATTTCGGCGAGGTTCGATATACAACTTGCTATTGTGAATGGGGAGAAGACGACCTTGGCTGCATCAGGGAGGTTTTGGAACACATCAAGATGTATGATGATGTTTTGCTTCTTTGTTCGCATATGACCTTATTAAGAACATGTTGCGAGTCTTCTGCGAACTTTGGCGTCCATCAACTAACACTGTTTGTACTGGCATCGGCGAGCTGTTCAACTTACTGTGAAATTTGCACATACTTTTTAAGTCCTTCCTTTACGCAAATGTTGATGCAAACAAGTCAACATAGAAATTCATTCCTGTTCATGGAGTTTTGCAATGAGTGCATAACATGCTTGAGTAACATTCACTTTTGCATAAATTGTTGTAAGTTGATGTCTTTTTTCTTATAATGTTTGTTTCAACTTTTTGTACACCGTGTCTACTATAGGTTTTGGTTTTTGTTTAACACATTTTACAAATTCAAAGTGTTTGTTGTCTCCGTGTGACGGTCACGGGTTCGAGCCGTGGAATCATCCATTGGCGCTTGCATAAGGGTAGACTGCCTACACACCCCCTTGGTGTGCGGCCTTTTCCCGGACCCTGCGTGACTGCGGGATGCTTTGTGCACCGAGTTGCCCTACTAATCAAAGTGTTTCTTCTTTTTAAGATGATGTATGTTTCAACTTTTTTACACTGTGCTAAATTTAATTACTGCAGGTTTTGGTTTTTGTTTAACACATTTTACAGATTCAAAGTGTCTCTTTTTTAAATCTTAAAGCTAGAAAATTTTGAACTGATGTACTGGGGAGAATGTTGTATTATTTTGTGTATCTAACCAAAAAGGAATTCATTGGTAATTAATATATTTAAAAGGAAAAACTTTTCCTTAGTGATGCTATGAACTGGCAACTGTGCTACGAGTAGCTGCCTAATATTTTCTTTCAGTCTCCTGGTACCAGAGGAAGGAAGTGATCATATTGGTAAATGTGGACTTATTATCACTTGGTGCAAAAAATTTTCTGATGTCCAATGGGATAAATGCTAATGACAAAAATCCGTGTGTTCTACTTAATCATAGGTACCTCTGATCACAATTGATACTAAAATAAGTGTCATTTATCTGCCGTTTCTTCCATTTAATTTTAATATTATTATGCTTCTAAGAGGTAAAATGGTGGCATAACATCAACAATTGATGTCATAAACCAAAAAGGCAACAAGGGTAGTCTTAAAATGAAAAAGGGATATGTTGAATATGCCATTTTCCTTATATAGACTAGCCTAAAATTGTTTAGCTACACAGTCAATGAATCTTCGAATATATCTTGGCAAATATAAGATATGATAGTTTTGCTTGGCGTCTAGGAAGAAAGCTCCACTAGTGACTCCAAAATGTTAGATTAGACTAGCTCCATTAGATATGATGGGTGAAAGTGCTTTGAACAGTTGGATGCACTATATATAAACTTGTGTGTTTCACATGATTATTTTCTCTTTTATTTGTATACTTTCTATTGCTTTTTCCCATCCCCTTTGATGGTTTTGTGGTTTTTAACCAATAAAATATTGACATATATTTTGTTTGAGTTCTCCTGTCAACTAAATCGCTCTCTCCTTTGATAGGAACGGCTGCCTGTCCAGCTGGAAAATTTTATTGCAGAAATGTGGGCAGTACACCTAAATTCCTGTTCTCTTCTCGCGTGAATGATAATATTTGTGGTAAGCACTCCTTGTTAAGCTAGTATGGGTTTTTTACAAAACGATTTTATATAATTAATTTTTGCTTCTATTTATGTGTTGTTACATAGTTTAGCCTCTTATCTGAGGCTTGTTTGTTTCTATGATACACGGATTCATTTATGTGTACGTATTGAATGGGGCTGTATGCAAGCTTTTTGGCTGCAGCATTTATTGATTTGTTAATCTCTATCTACCCTGTGGTTGGGTTCATGCTTGCTGATTCAAGATACTTTCAGATTGTTGTGACGGAAGTGATGAGTATGATGGTACTGTCAATTGCCCCAATACTTGCGTAATGGGTGGGGATTTTTCTTATCAAACAAGAAGTTATGGTTCAAGAAGAAAACATCTCGATCTAATTGGTGGAAAAAATGCTAATGGGGTCAATATGGATGACTCAGCTCCGAGACTGCAAGGTATTCTAATTTTTTTCCCTTTTTCTGTAGCCTTTGGCATGAACTGTGAACCATCTCATGTAGCAACTATTTGATGTTTGTTCATTGCAGGGCTGAAGATACTGGTACTTGTACAGGTGGTCGTTATCATTATTTTTCTGGTTTTCCGGAAATTATATCGGCAATCAAGGTCTAAAAGAAGACATGTGCGTTGAGAATTGATCCCAAGATTACTGTTATTGTCACAGTATGTTCTCAGTAAGTTTCTCTGGTCCTCTCTGTCTTTCGTTGTCTCCCAACCATGATTATTTGACCTAACTTCGGAGTGCAGTTGTGTTCTGTAGGCATAATTGTATGTCTAAGAGATGGCTGCAACCTGAAGGTCCAACTTGCTGATTGTTGACGTTCTTCTTTAATGATTCTTACATACATCTATCTGGAGACGGGATTGTGACAACAAACTATTAAGCCCTGCACCAGTTCTTGAAGTATCATTTTATTAGGCGCTCCTATGAACTTTTGACTATCTTGGTTGTTCAAATTGACTAGTAAGTTGCATACTGTAGTGGATCTCTACGAAGTTTTCGCATTGTCCGACCAACTAGCGGCGAGTTAATGTATGTTATGGTTTCAGTTAATTTGATGCTTTAAATATTAAGAAGCTTTTAAGTTGCCATCAACCATACCGGTTGTTTATATATATATATATCTATGTTGCTATGACTGATTTAAAAGAATATGGTCTTAGATTGTTATTGCCTTGTTAAGTAGTTTTACTTTTCTTGTGTTCTTCTTACAATTTCTTTTCAGGAACTTTTCATGTTTTCGACTAATTATTTTGACGATTATGTTGTTTAAGGGCCTCCCGTTATCCCGAAGGGGAGATATCTCTTTTTGATCGCTACAGTGAACTCTACCCGACTCAAATCAAATACCCAAATTTGCCTGCTAAACAAATTCGAAAGAGTCGTCATGAATATATTCCCATGGAGGTTACTTACTCTTACTGCCATTCTGCATCTTTTCATTTTATTTTCCAATTTTTCTATGGCTATTATCTCTTTTCGTCTACTTTTTTTCCTTTCTGATGTATTTAATTTCAGTTATTCAAAATTGTCCCGGGACAAAGATACAAAAGTACACTAAAGGCCAGGCAGGTCGCAGGGATGCAAAAAGCAAATTGTCAAAGACCTGCTGATAGGAAAAAATATGTAGAAGGCATGCATACGTCCTATCTGTCTTACATAAGACCAGTCCAGGTCGCAATTGATTTCACGTGCTTTTAACATCTGTATTTTAAAGCGACATCTAATTAAAAGGCAAATGTTGAAAGCACGTGAAATCAATTGCGACCTGGACTAGTTTATTTAAGACAGATCTGACGTATACATGCCTTCTTAATAATTTTCTCTCTATCAGTATGTCTTTGAAAATTTGTTTTTCGCATCCCCGTGACTTGCCTAGCATTTAGTGTGCTTTTGTATTTTTGTCCCGGGGCAATTTTGAATAACTGAAATTAAATACTTCAGAAAGGAAAAAAAGTACACGAAGAGAGATAATAGCCATAAAAAAGTTGGAAAATAAAATAAAAAGATGCAGAATAACAGTAAGAGTAAGTAACCTCCATGGGAATATATTCAGGAGGACACTTTCGAATCTGAATAACAGGCAAATTTGGGTATTTGATTTGAGTCGGGTAGAGTTCATTGTAGCGATCGAAAAGAGATATCTCTCCCTCGGGATAATGTGAGACCCTTGAACAACAGAATCGTCAAAATAATTAATCGAAAACATGAAAAGTTCCTGAAAAGAAATTGTAAGAACAACACAAGAATAGTAAAACTACTTAACAAGACAATAACAATCTAAGAACATATTCTTTTAAACTAGTCATAACAACATAGAACTACAAGAATACATCAGTTAATATATATATATATATATATACACATATATATATATATATAGTTGATGGCAACTTAAAAGCTTCTTAATGTTTAAAGCATCAATTAACTGAAACCATAACATACATTAACTCTGCCGCTGGTTGATCTGACAATGCAAAGACTTTGTAGAGTAAAATTGTGTTTGTGGTCAATCGAACCGTGATATGTGGCTCAGATGCTCGTGCATACATAAAGCTCTAGTTGGTACTTGTTCTCATTCATGTGTTCGCATATAACTTCCTGTTTATATGTGGATTCGAAGAGTAGCTCAACACTCTTTGGTTGCACAAATGAAGGGAGACAGTACCACAACAATGTGCTAGGCAGGCATATATGTACTGGAGACGGGGGCTTAATTTGCAAACAGTATGTTTGATAGTATCACTCTACTTTAAATATAGGACTCCGTTATTTTACATTTCTGGAATTGTTTACATTATTGAGTTAGAGAAGAAATGAATCCCTGTTACCTCTTTACTTCTAAATGATTTAGTCAAATTTTCTGTCGACAGGACGTAGGTTTGAATCCTACTTGGAGAGCCTACTGATTCTGGATTCTTTAATTCAGAATAAAGGTGCTCACTTTGTCAGTTAAGAGTAGGTAGTCTATTCCCTGTTTTTGGTACACTACTTAGCAATTAAGTCAACAGCTAATGTGTAACAACTAGTATAAGCTGGTACAATATTCTTACATATGGTATGTGTAAGCAGGAAGACCAGACCCAGTCTTCCAATTATACAGGTAAATCACCTTCTTTACAGCCCAGAATGAAACAAAGATAGCTAAAAGCATCACCAACCTCTGGATATTCCTATTCTTCACATGGACAAGAACATGAGTGATAAAGGCCAACAACAACCCGACAGTAAACCCCTCGGCCCCTAACTGCATCCCATTTCCGTCATAAAAGAAAACCAACTTTTTAGGATCATCTCTATCCACCATAGCAATAGGTATTTTATTGATTACGTTGTACATTGTCCCTGAAATACTGAAGAAGTACACGAAAACTGACCCTGCCATCCATATATGCTTGTTATGCAAAAGGGTGTTTCCAGCAATTATCTTTTTCACGAGAAACGGAGTCAAGATTAGCCCCAAAGCGATGATAATTATCTTTTGTTTCTTGGAAATGAAACCTGGCCGATGTATGGGACCAACAGTGAGCTTAGTTTTAGCCTCGATGAATTCTGCCATCGATTCAGCATGCCCAGAGAAATCCGAGGACTTCATTCGAATAGAATCCCTTTTGAATTCAGTAGCTAAAGGGGGGACTAAACATATATAGGGAAGAGACCTGACTCGAAATAGAGCAAAAGAAGCTTGTGATTCTTGAAACTCAATGTCAAAGAAAAAAAACTTGTTGTTATGTGGATTGTTTGTGTGGAATGAGGAGGAGAGAAGCAAGAACTCATTTTTAGTAGTTGGAAGTGAAATCTCTGGCTCTGAATGTAGCTTCTGTGAATCGAAGAATATAACGAAAGAAAATGGCCTAGGGATAGGTATCGATAAAATTCGTCTAAGTAGTTTGTTAGAAAGGTGAATAATGCCAGTGGGAGATTTAGAACGAAGGATGATCAATTCAGAAACTAAATCATCTGAAGTTAATGGAATGATTTTCAGGTACGAGGAGTAAAAGGAAAGTGAAGAACAAAAATGATGTTGTGTTGTATGAGATAGCCATTGTAACTGTGTTAATTCTGAATGTTCTGTGTCATACCATCACCAGAACTTTTGTACTGCTGATTGCTAAAAATTTTGCCCATACTTAGACTCCACATGGTGTGTTCCTGACAAAAGTTGTCTATTTTTAGGATTAATTATATTAAAAAATGGTCCTATTTATCTGGACTTTTTGCAGCTGAAATCTTCATCTACACCTAAATTATGATGTTAATGACAGTCTTTGCACTATTGAATTTTACGTGAGGCTGAAGAATCTTTTAAATGCAGATTATGTCTCCTTGAAAAGCTAATAAATAGATTGTTTTTGTTTAAATTCCTACCCGATGTCCGGTACCCTATTTGGGTTCTGACTAATCTAGATTTGCACTTCGAAGTACCACTTTGGGGGTAAAGCGCTTCTTACCAGTGACGGTTCTGTATCCGGGGTTCGAACCCGAACCACTGATTAAGGATGAAAGAAAACTTATTACACCATGATAATCTTTGGTTGTTAGTTAATAAATAGATAGAAAAACTAAGTTAATCTCTTAAAAGTAAATGCTTCTTTGGTAGAAGAGAAAACAAATCTTAATAGATAGATTTTATTGTTTAAATTCCAACCCAATGTCCGGTAGCCTATTTGGGTTCTGGCTAACCTAGATTCGCATTTTGAAGAATCACTTTGGAGGTAAATCGCTCCCTACCAAAGACTACTCCGTATTCAGGGCTTGGACCTAATCCTCTGATTAAGGATGAAAGGGTATTGACCACATTATGATAATCTTTGGTGGTTAGTTAATGATTAGATAGAAAAGCTAGGTTACTCTCTTAAACAAATATTGGGAGTGAAGCTATGATACATGGATCAAGTCCATTTTTTGGCGGCTCAACTTGTGACACTATACTTGTAACCAAGCTGAACGTAGCTCGGTGTTGAGCTTGACAACGTCGTCTAATAACACATCTAATGTACATATCGAGAACAGTAATAAGGAAAACAACTATGGATAGTGAAATTATGGCACTGAGCATAATTTTGCTGTTGATATCATATTTGTTTTTGCGATTATCATCTTCATCGAAGCCCTTATTGAGGCTACCGAGTTTTGAGCAGACTATAGATTCATTCGACGATTTTTTTGAAGAATAAAGGGTTGGTTTTTTTACGTTCAAGACTTAGGTTTTTTAATACAAGTACAAGTTTTTTTTGTGTCTGGTGTCTTCTTTTATACGTTTCACCGAGTGATTTACATGCCCAAAAAAAGGTGAGTTTTGCATGTAAAAAATATGTACAAAGACGAGTTGATTCATCAAAGTCAAATGTGCAAAAACAGAACTGGTGACAGATCGATCCCAAGACAATAGACAGGAATTTATACCATGCGAATAGCAGCTAGCTACTTCTTTTTCCAAAACCTCACTGAACTGACTTTCTTCCACTCCATCTCTGTCATTCACGGCGAAGTTTGACTAGATAACTTTGAAAAGGGAGCGCAAAATCACGAATGAACAGGAAAAAAAACTTACCTATAGAAGATTATTCTTTTAGGGCATTTCCCCGTAGACTCTTGAAAAGAAAGTAGCAATTCCCCGGAAAAACAACTTTAATTTTTAAGACAAAAACCATGGTATGGAAAACACAATGTAACATAATCAGGGACTTCTACCTATAGGTGTCAAACAGGCCGGGCTGCCAGTTCCGGGCCGACCCTGACTAGTTTTAGACTGGACCAGACCGGTAATTATGGGGTCGGGCAGGGTTGGATGGGGATGGGAACCGGCTTGGGCCGAGTAGAATTCTGGTACCGGTTAAAGGACCGGTACGAATCGTTAATGTCAAGTCATTTTGGAACCGGTTAATTGGACCGGCCCGAACCAGTTCAACGGCTAGTTCAAATTTTTTTGTTTTTTTTAATAAAGTTGACCGTTGGCAACAGTCAGTTGCTATTTTGACCGTTGCCCGACGGCTAATTTGCAAGAATAACCCTTTTTTGGGCATTTTTAAAAAAATAACACTTTTATTATTTACTAATTTAGCCCCTTTTAAAAAACTATAAATAGACCCCCCCTCCTTCTTCATTTCTTCACTCATCTCTCTATTCTCAAACCTAAATTCTCAGTTGTCATTCTCCCATTTTTCACCTAAATTGCAATCAACTATTTGGCTATCATTTTTTTTGGAATTTTATTTATGGTATTATTTGAAGTTTGAACTTTGAACAATCGACGTTTCTTCGTGGTAACATCAGAGTTGCGAAATTCAATTTCAAGACTTCAAAAATCATTAAGTGTTCAATTTATTGCGAAATTCGGTGCACTCGTTCCAACTCTTTCTCTTATTTAATCTTTTATTTTCATATTTAATCTTTTATTAGTAATTTTCATAATATGTTTAATGCTGCAAAACGAGTTTGTAATAAGGTTGCTAATCAAGATAATCGGGAAAATAGAAAAAGAGGTATTACTTCAACTTATAGTAGTAATTTAATGACTTTACACATATTTCTGAAACATCACGTGATAATAATATAGATTATGAACAATTACAGGAAGATTACTGTATAGAAGATAATGAATTAGAAACTGAAGATGACACGCCACTTACACCTAATAGTGTTGGAGTTGGTAGCAGGGGTGGTGGTCGTGGCACTAGGAGTAGACCACTTGTGGCCTCGACTAGTAATCGGAGAAGGAGAAGTAAAGTTTTGAAATACTTGATGAAATAGAGAATACTGATAGAGTTAGATGCAAAATTTGTAAAGATGATTTTAAACATAAGACCGGAGGATTTTAAGCATAAGCCCGTTGGACATACAAAATTTTTCCTTTTTTTCAATTTTTTTTTCTGAAAATAATGTTTGGTTATTCCATTCTTACCAATTTTTCCTTTTTCACTTGATAATCCATTTTCAAATTCGAAAAACTGGTTCTCACTAGCTTTTCAATTGAAAATGGGAATTTGCTAGTTTTTAGTTTTATAAATTTACCCTATATTTTTTAAAATTTATAAAATGACCCCATCAGTTTTTCATCTTTGGCAGATGCATCTTTGGCGACTGATGGCGGAACATCAGTCCTAGTTGATACTTGAACTCTGCCTACTGGAAGTTTGATTATATGGTTATGAGAAATGTGGCTATGCTTGCTTTTGCAGCTTCTCTGTGTGTTAGTAAAATTAGAAAATGTGATATTGATTTTGCATCTTCTGTGTATTGTAGTAAAGCAGAGTATGATAACAGTTAAACAATTGCATTTTGATTGTTTATTTTCAAGTAAGATAATCAAATTGGGATGGTTTTGATATATTTTACAAGTTGTGGGGGTATAAATCATGTTTCATGGTTTTGTAAAAAAGACATCCAAATATCTTACAAAAATTATAACCAAACACAACTTCATATTCAATTCAAATTTTAGTGAAATTCCAAATTTAAATTTTTTTTGGAATTCATGTCCAAACGCCTACTTAGTATAATTTAAGACCAAATCATGCTAGATGAAATTGTTACTAGATGGAATTATACATACTTATTTTTAAAATGTTGCTACAAATATAGATTACCGATAACTAAAGTTGGTAATGCGCATTGTACTGATCCAAACCGTATGTTAACAACTAATACTTGTGCGTCCATTAATGATGTTGTTAAATTATTACACAAATTTTATACATCTAATGTTGAGTTTTCTGGAGCATATTACCCTACTGTTACTATGGCTTTAGTACATATAGCTGAAATTTCTTTTCTACTCTCTGAATTTAAGAAGAAAGAAAAATATAAGGATGCTGTTGAAAAAATACAAGCAAGATTCAAAAAATATTTATTCCAACTCCTTCTATTTACTTAATTGGTTCTACTTTAAATCCTTCTATTAAGATGTCTAATTGTAATCAATTAATCAATGCTTTATACTTATATGGAAATTTGACCAACTGAAATCCCAGATATATATTATTATATGAACAAGCTAAAAGATTATTTACAACAATTATATAATTATTATGCAAATATAATTGATGATACTGCTAATAATGTAGACAATGTTAGTCCCACTAGTCATTGCACTACTTCTGCTACATCTGATACTATGGATGAAGATGAAAGCCTTGAGATTTAATATTTGGTCTACATTTTCTTTCACTCAAACCAGTAGCAGGAACATTGATGAACTTCAATTCTACTTGCAAAAGCAAACAGAGCCTCACACAAAGGAATTTTTACCGTTGGCATGGTGGCATGAGGATGAAAAGCAATTTTCTGTTCTTTCCGCTATGGCTCTGGACGTGCTAAATGTGCTAATCTTAACTGTTGCATTAGAGAGTGCATTTAGTCAAGCAAACAACAACTAAGAGACACCCATCACTCATTGGGAAGCAATGCTTTGGAAGTTTTAGTATGTTTCAGATATTGGATTAGATCGGAATGATAAAATCAAGAACGTGAAGATGTTGATAAACCAGAAGATGAGGAACTTGGAGATATATTAACACATAGTAACCCATCTGAATTTAACACTCCAGAAGATGGCCA